TTCGGGGGGGGGGGGGGGGAGAGAGCAGGGAGCCGTGCGCTCAGGGGAGGAGGCGGAGAAGAGACAGGATGGGGCGGGGATTTGGGGAAGGGGTTGGAATAGAGGCAGTGAGTGGGCAGAGTTGGGGTAAGACCTTTGGGGAAGGGGTTGGAATGGGGGCGGGGAAGAGGTGGGAAGAGGTAGGGCCTCATGGATGAGGTGGAGTGGGGGCGGGGAGGGGTGGAGGGGGGCTTTTGTATCTTTATATGAAAAGGTGTCAGTGATGCGGCCCTCAGGCCAATGTACTAGTCCTCATGTGCCCCTAATGGTGATTTGAGTTTGAGATCCCTGACCTAGAGTGACTCACAGTTCAAAACCTTCAATTCTTTGCTTCAGTTCTGCCTCTCTGGTTCTTATCATTTCAATATCTTTCAGCAGACTTTGTCTTTGTGTATAAACCTCCTTTGCTTCAATCTACAACAGAAAATATTACTTCTATTCATTTTATTTTTACACAAAAAATTGAGATTTAAATTAAAATAATTTCCAGTGAATTCATACAGAATGGCAACAGCAGCAAGACATAACAAGACACCAATGGTATAAAAATTAGAAACATAAATGCTACAGACCTCACTCCAGGAACTGGTTTGATCCTGACAAATATTTGCATAGCTTGCTGCTAGTAACAACTGATTTGCACTAACCAGGGGCTAAGTCACCAGGGGCTGCTTCCTTTATTCTACTTTATTTAGGGTTAACACACTTGAAAGTTATTACTTGCTATCAAGTAACTTATCTTTTAGAATGCTGCACAGATTCAAAAGTCACAAAACAAAACAAAAAGATTTATTTATAACACGTACAGAGTTACCACACACAAATACAAACTTTAGAATATACCAAAACTGCAAGAGAAAAAGCAAGTATAGGTAAACGTGGTTTTGCCCCTATCTTAACTAGATTAACAAAAAAGAATTAAAGAGACAAGGTAGGTGAGGTAATATCTTTTATTAGACCAACTTCTGTTCTTGAGAAAGAGAAGCTTTCAAGCTTATACAAAGCATTTGTCCAATAAAAGATATTACCTCATTCACCTTGTCTCGCTCATATGCTGGGACCAACACTGCATACAAAATATATATATATATATATATATATATAAGAAACTTTAAAAAACCCTGATAAATGTAGTTAACAGAGAAAATGCACTCTGTATTCTTGCTTTAAAACTAAACTTTCTTCAAAATACTGGTTCCATTAGCAGCTACCTCCAATTCTACATTCTAGACTATCCAAACCAAACAATACCTTCTAAAAGAATCTTCCCTATGATCATAATGGCAATACCAGATGTCACATCTACAGCCCTATTCTTACTAATAAAAAAACCTCTCTGTAGTTCTTAGCTTTAAAAAGAAACAAATTATGTGCCTCTGCAGAAAGGCTAAGAGCATGAAGACTGAATGACCTTTTTATCCCAAAGGTGGTCCCATCAAATTTGCAAATCAGGTGCATTATACAAGTGTCGGAAGAGTTGGAACAGCCACTGTCTCCTGTTCCTGTGTTTTGGATAACTAGAGGAATTTCATTTCCGACGCTTTTCCTGAAATTACATTCTTCTACTAAAAAGATCTACGTGATCTTTTATCTGCAATACACAACCATTTAGCTCAGTGGAGCTGCTGGTCTTTTTGCTGGGACAACCAGCAAGTAAATGAAGTATGTACTTGGTCTCAAAGATCAAAAGCTGACAATAGCACCCACAATTATTTTGTTTAGTGAAGAACAGAGCAGATCCAAGACAGCACGGTGGCAGGCAAAATTCTTTGTAATCAAGAGAAAAGTAATAAACATTGGGAAGAACAATCTGAACCACACATACACATTTTTGGATTCTAAATTAACAGCGGATTAAATTACCACTCTGGAAAAAGACCTAGAAGTCATGGACTCACACATCTGATCACTGCATGACAGTGGTCAAAAATACAAACAGCACCTTGGGTTATATTAAAAAGGATAACAAATACCGAATAGATTATAATATAATTATATACATGAATGGTATGTCCACACCATGAATATTGTGTTCTAGTTTATTTATATTTTTTTCTATTTCAACTTCTAAAAAGAAAACTACAATAAGCAAAACAAAAAATCACAACATCCATAATAAAAAGAAAAGAAAAACCTATAAAGTAGCCATCGAGGAATGCCATTAAAAAAATCCTGAATACTCTGAAAGGAGAATAGGGATTCATACATGTAACAATATCTATATTATATTTCAGTCTTCTTCTGCAGCACTGCTGCTACTCCAATCTATTTACATATTTATACCATACTCATCACCATTGTCACTGAGAACCTGAAATCACTAAACATGCCAATCTGTGTGGTGCTTTCCTGATGTGGGACTAAGAAAGAACTATTGAACTCTTTTTCACTTATGACGCAGTAGGATCTGAATGTAGTTCCTTCAAAGATCAAAGGGCAATTTCATTAACTAACTGAACCACTTAGCACTGGATCCAATTATTATTTTTAAACATTACCTCCTGTTGTTTTTGAAGTCTTTCAATAGCATTCTTTTCACGAGCAATCAGAGCCTCAGACTTGGCTTGGTTTGTCCTTTCAAACTCTCGACGCAAATCAGAAACTTCTTTCTGGCATTGTGCTTTCTCTTCTATTCTGATCTTTGCTATTTCAACCTCTTTGAAATGTTGTAACTGTTACATGTAAGAGAAGAACAAAGTAAATATTCCTCACTTGATCACAAAAAAAGAAACAAAATCCACTCTTCCAGGTTAAATTTGATGTTCAGACATATGCATTTACTTGCAAATCGCTTGTTTACACTGTTGATCACTGTAGCATACTGAATTCCCTTTGAGAAACTATACAGAAATGTCTAATTAAATGTGTTAATCTTTGTAGTCTATGTATGTAAACTTCTCTGTGATAAAAGTACCTTTGAAGATATATGATTGACATGTCTTACATATTTACACCTTCCATCTAGGATCTCAAAGCAGATTACAAAATAGATAATAGCATCCTTAGGCATAAGTAAGCTAGATATAGAGCCTTACACTAAAGGGGTTACCACTGCTCTCTGTGCTTAAGTTGTGTCATTTTTTTACTCACTCCTGTACATGCAGAAGGAAACAGTTGGGAACAGAGCAAGAGATGAGGTAAGGCAGCTAATTAAATATCCCACTCTCCAACCTGACGTTCCGTGACTGGCAAATAAAGAACACCACATTCCCTAATTCTTCTTCTGACTGGGTCTCCATTCTCGCCCCATTCCCAAAGAACCATGTTTGCCTGGTGGTGGGGCCAAAGGCAGAAGCAGGCCTGCCTTGAACTGCTAATGCCCACTGGAAGTCAGTCTTTTGGACATGGAGCAGATGTGGGCCAGAGAAAGAGTCGTCGTCCTCAGCCAGGGAATTCTGAGCACTATTGGAAAACTGTGTGAATACAAACTTAGGGGTCTGTTTGAGTGTGTATGAGAAAGAGGGACCATTTCTGCCTAGGGAAGAGAAAGTGTGAGAATGTACATATATGAGTGGGAGGGAAAGAAAATAAATGGGATTGTAAGGATGCATAAGAGAAAATGAGAGAGAAAATGGATGAGAGAGTGCAAGTGTGAGAGAATGAATGGGAGTACTAAATGAAAGAGAATAGGGAAAATGTGAAAACAGAGGGAAGACAGAAGTTAGATAGGAAGAAAGCATAGCCTGAGACCTCCGACCAGGGAATTAGGGCCTATGCACAAACTTGTACTGAGTTAGTTAAACCACTTGCAACCCCAAGTGTGGAGACACTTAAAATTGTTTTTAAATGGCATATATTGGTTTAATTTACACTGTAAGGAATCAATTTAAACTAAATTGCTATAAGCCATTTCTAAACTGATTTATGATTGTCCACACAAAGGGTTGCACCAATTTAACTAAACCAATGCAAACGTTTCTACACAAAAACTTGCCCAAGCCTTTAATGACAGTAAAATCATGTCTATATTGGGGAATTATACACAAAAAATCCCCACTAGTGCTACCACTAACTCAGCTGATGTAAACAAGGAAGTTTTGATCTATTTACCTCCCTAAAGAAAGATGATATAAGAAGTTTGCTTATATTGTATCCCTGTGTCTAACAGCAGTTCTCAAGGATCTGTTGTAGACATGTTGTCCAAAGGGATTTTTTGTTAAACTTGAGGTAATTATATTACCTCATTATTAATTACCTAATTATAGAAAATTAGGTGTTTTTGGGTTATAACATAAAAAACAAAAATGAATTATTATTTATTCCGACTGCCTTTTTATTTCACCATGACATTAAGATATGGCTGAACTTTGAAAGTTGATACTTTGCATATAGTGTTTAGCAAAAGAAGTGACTTTATAAAGGAAAGGGGGAAGTTTAAATTCTGATTAAAATCTGAGCCTGTTCAGCGGGCACATAGTTTTAGCACAACCTAATGAACTCCCAGTCCTTTTGTAATATTTCACAGAGGACCCTATCTTAACACAACATCAGGGTTGCAACATTAACTTGACCATGCTCCACACATGTAATATTTTCCATTTGTGTTTTTCTTATTAAATGTGTACCATCATATCTACAGTATGGTAATTGTTTCCAAATCAATATTGTGGTAAGAAGCTTAAAACTTTTCCTAATACTTGAATTATTTATTTTATGTGACTTTTTTGCATTGAATTTTCTTGTTTTTAAGAAAAAGGGGACAGTGTTTAATAAAGATTGCATTTAGGTCCCAATTATGCTTTGAAGCTTGAACTTCAGTGAGGCTCATAGGAACAGAGAATGGTGAATTGCCTATTATTGCTGTTATTGTTTAGATTATATCAATTCAGTTTATTTCTAATACAATCTTAAAATTTGCAAAATATTGTAGACTGCAGACAAAAACTGCAAGAGATCCTAAAATCATGGGATCCACAATATTTTTCACATTTTATGATTTTTCTATTCTCCAAGAAAAGGCAGTGCTGTTTTGGAGGCTTTTGCTATGTATTTTGGTGAGATATTTTCTGAGTCTCTCATGCAATTTATTTAATTTGCAGCCCCCATATCTAAAATGCTGAGAGGAGAGAATGTTAGGATACAATTAAAAGCAACTAAACAACAAAAGCCCTAAAATTAAGACTGCCCCCACAAAAATGTATTCACAGAAAAATTTCTAATGAAGTTTCTTTGTAATCATTCACAAACAAAACTGGACTTAAAATGAAAATACATGTTTAAAAAAGATAAGAAATGCTGACATTAAAGAATCATCATGTTTCCCATAACTCATACTTCCCTTTCTAATAGATTAAGGGTAGCACAGAAAAACATGTTGACTTATAACACTGAAATATAAAAAGAAGACTAGTTAATAGTAAGAATAAGAGCTTTGATAATTATAAATCTTTCAAAATGTAGCTATGTATAGTGAATGAGTGCAGATGAGGTAACACTTAGGCCAAGGCTTTGGTGGCATGAGTGTAGTTTTGCCAATTCTTTTTTACACAAAATTGCTAATCTCTTTAACATGTTACTGCTAACAAAGGTAACACATGGTGTTGGAAGTAGTAAGTAAACGAGACACAAACATGTAATGATAAATTAAAAAAAAAAAACTTTTACCTAGGAAGACTCAGGGCAGGGTGACACAAAAACAGAAACTGCAAAACCAGCAGGGAAAAATGCAGAAGTTGGGTAACTGAATCTTGTGCATGCGTAATGTATGGGTTACTTAAAATCCAAAAGGTTGATGTGCTAAAAGCTGACTGGATAAAGATTAAGTAATCTGCAATGTAGAAATGTATAAAAGACCTACGGGTCCATGTTCACTAACTGGAGAAACACCAGACCAGAAACTGAAGAATGGGACTGAAGAACCAGAAAAAGGGGTCAGAGAGGCGACGACTATCATAGAAGATGGCCCAGAATGTGGTCCCTTTGGCCCATTTACCAATTCTGTGTTCTCTGTTATTTGTCTGACACAAATGTAGATCTGGATCTATCTATGACAACGATTCTGTCTGAAATTGTATAAATAAAGGGAAAAATTGACTAAGCCTAAATTGGGCGGATTTATGACTCAGTTTCCCAACTTTTACCTCCCACAGAGAACATATAGTTTTTGCACATATAATAGATTGGCATGACTCATTTCTGACTCAAAATTATTAGAAGCATTACAAATTTGCAAAATAAAATGAACACTTCCCCATCCCTCATTTCCATGACAATTTATTTCTGGGTTATACCTTTTCAGACATTTCTGCTTGAAGCTGGTCCTCTATTTCTTTTCGATATTCAATGAGTTTCACTTCTAAAGACTCAAATTTCTGATGTTGGGGATAAATGTCTGCAAACTGTTCATCAATCAGCTGAAGTTTTTCAACTATATAAAGAATAATGCAATGTACCATCACACAGAAATATTACATTTAGTAACGCTGTTGCTCCTACCCAAGATTTTAGGGGTCCTTGTAGGTTTTAACTATCCATGCCTAGCTTCTACTGAGAAGCTACCAAGGAAGCAGTGAAAAGAAATGGTCACTTAAGACCTGAAAAGTGTGGACATACAACAACATGGTTGGAAACAAGCCACCTAGGTACTTTACAATATGGCACGTGGTCCAACTACACCTCTACCCAGATATAACACGACCCGATATAACGCGGTAAATCAGAGCTCCGGGGGGGGCGGGGCTGCGCGCTCCAGCGGATCAAAGTAAGTTCAATATAACGCGGTTTCACCTATAACGTGGTAAGATTTTTTGGCTCCCGAGGACAGCGTTATATCGGGGTAGAGGTGTAATTGTTTATGTGCAAAAAGTTGGAGGTGATCTTTAAATAAAGCAATCAGGATAACTGGTTAGGATTGTAGCCAACCTCTCTCATTGTTCTCCCAAGTAAAGTGAGTGCCTGAGGCGAATTGGGCAAGAGGAGATAGAGGAGCCTGAAACCAAATGGCCCCTTCCTGCCCCACAACTGCTGCATATTACCCCCTGAGATGGAATCTCATCAGCTACTAATACAGACACGAAGCTCTGATTTCAAAGAACAGGTGCCTGTAAATTATATTGTATAACTAACTTCAGTAACAACGCATTCCAATGAATAAATCTACTAGACGGTTTTTAGTAATGCAATTACCAGTATGTTCAATTTCTGTCTTATGCTATGATTTTTGGCACTGGAAACAATTAATAAATTATATTATAATTAGAGCTGGGCAAAAAGAATTTGCTTATCCAACAAAAATTTTCAAGATCTCAAAAAATGTTCTTGTTCTGCATCAGGGCAAAACTTTAGAGATCTTTAGATTTTTTTTCATGAAGAAACAAGAGAAAGATATACATACATCAGAATAGCAAATGGCCCAGTGGTTAGGGCACTCACACGGGTTGTTGGAGATGTAGGGACTCACATCCCAGGTGAGTGCCCTTATCACTGAGCTATTGACTATTCTAAGGTGCAGGAGTTGGGTTTCTCATTTTCACCAGATGTTTCATCCTGGATCTCAGGAAAGTTTCCTTAAAAAAATGATACGTTCCTGCAAAGAGTTTCATTTTCAATTAACTGGTATTTTCCACCTGCCCTCCCCCCACCCCCAAAAAAACAACAAAACACACACACACACACACAATTTAAAACCCCTAAATAATTCTAATAATAAATTTCCTGAAACTAAAAATTATTTAGGCATCTGCTCTTTGAGGTGTATAATACTAAAAATAATACATCTAGGATGGAAGTATGGATTTGTTTTCGTATCAGCTGAATACATAAGAAACTATTTGAACTGAAGACCCAAATCACAGCAAAACTTTTGTCTTACACTTTCCCTGCTTTATTTTAGAATACCAGAGAGGGATGCAATCCAGTGAGGGATGCAATCAGGCATGGGCAAGTGCTGAAAGGATACCGTATTGAGCTAGCTGAGGAAAAAGCTCCATTTACCAAGAGATTCTCTGTAAGGAGGTATTGAGATTGTCTGAGTTTCTGTGTTGCGACTTTCCTTACATAGGTGATGCTCTGTCAGCTCCATTAACATCTGTATAAGAAAACCTTAGAGATACAGTATGTTAGTTACTTTTCTCTTCCACAACAAACTGAAATTTGAAGGCAGAGATAACTCAAAAAAAACCCTAAACAGTGAGAGGATGAAATTATTGCCAAAGAACACAAGAAACCATTCAATAAAATCAATGTAAAAATTCTAACAAGTATATTAATAGCAAGCATGCTCAATCTCCCATAATCAGCATACCTAGACCATTCCTGCTACTTTTACCACCAAACTCATTGAGGGAGCAGATTACAATCATCACCAATACCTGAAATCAACAAGAGCTGCAGGTGTTTGGTGTTTCTGAAAACCGAGCCACTTTTTTTTTAGGTGTCTAAATACAGATTTAGAAGCCTAACGTTGGGACCAGGTGTGAAAATTGTGCCCTATATAAGCCACAGGCAAATAAAATGAAAGTTTATCTTGGTGCAAGCCTAAGTTCCCTCCGAGCTGTGCGGCTGCGCAGCAAGCGATCAAGGGCCACGCAGGTGGGGAGAGGCGCCCCTCCCCCAGCCCAGCCTCGCCAGAGCTCCTGCAGCCAGGGAGAGGAGCCTCTCCCTGGGCCTGGTCCAGCCCCGCTGGAGCTGCCGCAGCAGGGGAGAGGCAACCCTCTCCCTAGCCTAGTCCCACTGGAGCTGCCCAGCCTAGCCTAGCCCCGTTGGAGCTGACACGACTATGGCGAGGCGCCTCTCCCCCAGCCCAGCCGGAGCTGCTGCAGCTGGGGAGAGGCACCTCTCACCCAGCCCCGAGCTCCTGTGGCAAGAGAGGACGGGGGAGTCTTCTCTCCCCAACACAGCCCTGGGGCAGCCTGCACCCCAAACCCCTCATCCTCGGCCCCATCTCAGAGCCCTCACCCTCCCGCACTCCAACCCTCTGCCCCAGCTCTGAGCCCCCTCCTGCACTCCGAACCCCTCATCCCCAGCCCCGCCACACACCACCTCCATATTGGTGCACATAACAAAATTAATTCAGCACATGGACGTAAAAAATTAGAGGGAACACTAGTGCTGGCCCGTACACAGTATATGAATGCAATTGAATAGAAAATAATGCAGAACATCTGAATTCCCCAGATGGTCTTTGGAAGTTTTACATTCATCAGGATTTAAGGTTTTAATTTTTTTATTTATAATACTGGAATTTTTAATTTTTTTGCTTGGAGTTGAGGTTTAACATTTCATACATGCCACAAATTGGGAAAACCCCAATAGAAGCATTAGAGTCACTAAACTAAATAATCATAAATACTTTTTAAGAATCAAACATTTAATCAAATGTATTCAGTATCTAGGTACAATAAAACAAAGTGAGCTTCTATTGCTCATATGATATTATAAACTAAGCTAACAAGGAAAAGGGGAAATTTTAGGGGAAATGGATGACTCATTATATGCCTAATATGTAAATATAACGTCATACCTTTTTTGTTCTCTTTTTGAGCTCCTGAAGTCTGTATGGAGAAAAAGATAAGATTATTATTCTGTGTATTCAATCATAAATTATAATTGAAGTAAGAGTTACAGAATCAAAATCATTACCAATGACTTGTAAAGACTGGATTTTGGATGGATCCTAATTAGCTGCAGAATATCTTGCATAGTAAACACCTTTTTAAAAAAGAAAGGCAAAAAAAAATAATCAAAATTTTAAGACCATTACAAGTAATTAACCTGTTTTTCTCTGCTGTGGTAAAGAGATCCACCTTCGATGTGCTACACTCGAGACAAATTTGATCCACCACTTTATCACACAAAGACCCGTTGTGGAACAGGGCTCAGGCTGTCTGGCTCCTATATGTGAGCTAACTGGCAGTCAGGGATATCTCTTGAGAGAATGCCCTTCCACAGCTCAAGAGCATTCCAATGAAGGAAGAAAGACTCTGTCTCATCAGACTTGTCAATGTAAAAGACTATATCCCAATTATCTGTTTGAATCAAGACTACCTTTTAGAATACAAAGTTGCAGAACACTCACCATCTATACAACACTTGTAATGTCAATGACACTACAGACCAAGTATTCTGAGTGTGGAACCGCTTTATCTGGGCACTTAACAGCTATAATTTGGACTAGAAGTTTCAAACAAATATGGAACTCACAAGCCTTGAAACTACTAGGTGACCCCTTGGCTCTTCCTTTCCACAGAGGATTTTTAAAATTATATTGGAAGGATCAGTTAACACTGCAAAGTCCTATATGAATATCATCTTTCACATCCCTTGCATAGTAAATTATAGAGCTCACCTTCTCCTTTTCTAATCCACTTTCTGGATAGAAAACAGAAAGTGAATATTCATAGCCACAACTGCGCAGGTGATCTGCCACCAGGCTGTTGGAAGCTCCAATTAACAATGAACTGCCTTCACTGGACACTGGTTGTGGCTGAAGTTCTCCACTTAAAATTGGATGCATCAGTTCATGGATTAGCTGGTTTCGGAGCTGAGTCTGGTGAAAACAGAAATTCAACAACAGAAAGAGAGAACTCTGGAATTTTTTGCTTTCCTGAAGCCATACGGATTCAACATATTAAATTTAAAAGTCTGATGTAAAGAAACAAAAAGAAAAAAATTCTAATTTAAGGTTGGCTCTTATAGAATTTAGAAAATAGCTCAGGACACCAGGTCTATCATCCTCATATTTCTAAAGGTGCCTAGGGGTCTTTAACTTCCACGCCAATAATTTTTAGAGATTGGGCTAAAATGACCTATTTATCCTCATCCAAAAGACATACACTTGTATCATCCTCAAAGCTCTGCAAGGATGCAATTTAAATTTCAAAATTGATGTTAATTGCTTTTCCCATTCTCCCCCTTCTCTTCCTGCTACTGCCTCGGGGTACGTCTACACTACAAGCATTATAGTGGTACAACTGCTGTACTGCAACTATGCTAATGACTACAGCAACAGATGTGGTTTTTCCATCACTGTAGTAAGAGGCAGTAGCTAGGTTGATGGAAGAATTCTTCCATCGACCTAGCTGCGTCTACAGTGGGGGTTAGGTTGACCTAATTAGAGCGCACAGGGCATGAAATTTTTCCCAGCCCTGAGAGAGTTAGCGAGGTCAACCTACGTTTCAGGTGTAAACCAGGCCTGACTGCAGCTTATTTGAAAAATTCACTAGTCCTCTAAATGACAGGCCAAGAAGTTGCTGAGGAGAAGAGGGAAAAGGGAACAGAGTGGTCTAGGCACTACTAGTCCTTTTGCAGATAGGGGCGGGGGGAACTAGGGAGCCACGCAACTGGACTATCTAGTTATTTCTCACAGAGACAGGTAAATGGAGTAAAGATTATATGAATGCAGAAATGTTTGAGACTAGGAAAGATGGCTGGTACAAGGTACAAAAGAGAAGTAGATGACAGAGAAAGAAATTGTGGAGAAAAGGAAAAAGAAACAGAAAATATAGGGAAAGTGAAAACACAAGGGAAAGAAAAAGACAAGGAAACAACATACACAAAATGTCGAGAAAAATACACTTTGAGTCCTGATGGGACTCAAAAGATCTGGGTTCAACTCGCAGCTGCTTCCTCTGTGACCACTGGGCAAAGCACTTAAACTCATCATGCTTCAGTTGTCTCTCCATTACATGGGAATAATATTTCCTTTTCCCCCATCCCTTATCTGGTTATCTATTTAAAGTGCGTGCCCTCTGGGGCAGGTACTGTTTACTGTGTGTATGTACAGTGCTTAGCACAATGGAACCCTGATGTCCTCTGGGGCCACTAGGCACTACAATTATTATTGTGACTTATTACAGGGGAGAAAAAGTAGCTGGAGTGTTTGGAGCCCCTGCTACATCAGAAGCATTGCCCCCAACAGTCAGGCTTTACGAGGAACAGGTCCAATTTAGACACCATTTTGGCCATCCTCTTATTGTTGGAGATACATCGCAAGTTCAAGAAGCCTCTGCACGTGGCATATGTCAATTTTAAGCCTGCATTTGATTCTGCTGACCAAGTCCAATTATGGAAGGCCTTGAAGGACATCCATGTCCCAACCACTCTGCAGAACTTGATTAGCGAGCTGCATAACGGAACCACTGCCCGTGTACGTCTTGGGAATCTGATGTTGGCACCTTTTAAATCAGTATCTGGTGTCAGGTAGGTCTGTGTCTTGGCCCCTGCACTCTTTTGTCAGGCAATGGATTTCATAATGCAGCATTCTGTCAGATCCATAGGAATTAAGACTGGCAATCTCTCACGCTCAGATCTTGATTTATGTGGATGATGTTCTAGTACAGAGCCCCGACAGGTTTCACGAGGCACTCCGTCCAGCAAATGGAGGAGCTGGCTAAGAATGGCCTCCATGTTTCGCGGTCAAAGACAAAGTTGCAAAATCTAGGATCAAGTACATCAGTGACGCCAATCTCTTTGAATAATGAAACTATCAAATCAGTCTCCAGCTTTTGCTATTTGGGTTTTATATTCACCAGTTCCTCCAACTCTCACACAGAGGTTCTCCACTGGATTGGCATGCAGCTTTTGCCATGGGTCGTTTACAATATATGTGGAATCAACATAATCTCAGCACGACAACTAAGTTCAGGATTTATCCTCTCTGAGCCGCTGTACGGTTGTGAAACATGGACACTATGCCACCCAAGCAGGGCAAAGCTTGAGGATTTCCACACAAAATTCCGTCATATATTGGGTATAATGTGGAATGACTTCATTTGTAATGCAGATGTTTACGGTCACTCCGGTCTACACACTACTGGGGCCATTGTCCGCAGACAGCATCTTACACTTTATGGACAGGTTGCGAGAATGCCACAAGACGTTCTGGCAAATGCCACTCTCCTGGTGGCTTGTAACAGCTGGGATAAACTTCCACCAACCAAGGGGTGGAGCAGGTTGAGACAAAGACCCCATATTATATGGGTGCATCATGTCTGTTCCAATTTTGGACTCTCGGCCCATCAAGCCCTTGTGGCTGCACAGAAATGGACCAAATGGCGAACGATTGTTATGGCCGACCGTTCGACTATGCGTTCAAGAAGCAGAAGAAGAGAAAAAGTAGCATGAAATCAGGAAGAAAGATTATAAAAGGGAGAAATAAGTTAAATTTTAAAAATTAAAATATTTTATAATTAAATACTCTATATTATAAAGAGTAGACAACTATTTTATCCTTAAAAGAGCAGCAGGGAGATGGCATAAGAACAGCCATATTGAATTAGACCAAAGGTCCATCTAGCCCAGTATCCTGTCTTCCGACAGTGTCCAATGCCAGGTGTGCCAGAGGGAATGAACAGAACAGGTAATCATCAAGTGATCCATCCCGTCGCCCATTCCCGGCTTCTGGCAAACAGAATCTAGGGACACCATCCCTGCCCATCCTGGCTAATACCATGACAGCACAAGTATTTTCATTTTGGCTGGTGGGTTTAATTGAAAGATAAATAAGTGACAGGTAAATGTTTCTAGACAAGAAATAAACTATTTACACTCCTAACGAAGGCTACAGTCCCACAAGCCAATCCATGCAGGTGGGCATTTGCACCTGTGTGAAACCCTCTTGCATCTGGCAGGGCTTCATGCAGACAAAGTTACATATGGATCAGCTTGCAGAATTGGGGCCAAAATATGCATTTTCCTTGAGAGAAAAGATCATATAACAAAAAAAGGTTTGTCTACCATGGATTTCACTGTTGTGAAACACAGCCTATTGTTTTCAATGCCAGATAGCCACATAGAAACATATGTGAGGCAAGTGCTATGTAACACTTGCTTAAAACAAAACACACACCTTAAGTGTGTCCAAAACACCTCGGTTCTTAAATGTCTGATAAAGTCTTTTTCGGAGTTCGTCTTGGGACAACGCTTGAAATTCAGAAGAAGCCATCCTGAGCTAAAATGTTACAAAACACCATTACTCCTCTCCCCAGCAGACACCCCAGAAGCCCCCCCCCGCCCCAGCACAGCTCTATTGAACAGGTGGGGCCCAACAGGCCCTGTCACACTGCACCATTTACACCTCCCCGGTAACCAGAGGAGGATGCGGCTCCTCACAGAAATACCAGCTGGGGGAGGAGGAGGTCGCAGCCGCGGGCCTGGGCAATCGCCGCGGCTTCACCGCGTGTCCCGTGAGACGGGCTGTTTCGCTAAAGCCCCAGCTCCCGGAGTCAGGGGAACGCTGAGGGCCAGCGACCCAGCGCGGGGGGCGGAGCCCGGCCCGGACTGAGCCTAGGAACCGCTACGGCTACGCGGGGCCCGTCTCCTAGTGGGGGCGATGCCCGGAGGAGCGGGCTCATGCTGACACCGCGGAAATGCGGCCGCCAAGAGCCCCCTCCGGGCAGGGCCGCCCCCGGTGATTTCGGGGCCCCGCACCCGATACTTCAACTAAGGAGCCTCGGCCCCGCCAGTCCCGGCAGGGGGCGCCCCAGTGAGGGAGGGGCTGGCGGCCGGGAGTGAGCGCGACTGCGCAAGTCACCTCGCTGAGCCGCGGCGCCGGCAACGGCACCTGCCTCCAAACTGGGCTAATCGCCGCTTTGCGGCTCAGCCCGGCCCGGCCGTTACCAACCGCCGCCCCCTTGACGGAACCCTCGCGAGAACCGACTGTGATCGATCGCTCTCGCGATACCTGAGAGCGGCTGGGCCCTTCAGAGTGCGGTGATCAGTGGTGACGCCATCAGCCCGCGCCGGATGTTTGGGGACTCCGCGGGGACAGCTTGGTGCAGCGGCGTCTGGACAAGCGGGTGAGCGGCCGGGGGGTCCCTGCTCCCTCGAGCGTCTGGGCGGACTGAGGCCTGCTCTGTGCCCCTCCCCCTGCCAGGAGCTGCGGTGGAAGTGTCACAATCCTGGGGCGGGGGTCGAATCTGCCCCCCTCCCCCGCGCGCGGTACCGGTGACCAGCGCCACGATCCCTGCCCCCCATTTCCCCGCGGCAGGGGGCAGCGGCTGGCTGCTGCCCCGAGCCTCCCTCGCCCGTGTCTGTCACTGGCCGCGAATTAACCCCCGCGAGGCAGGGGAGGGGCCGCGAAAGTGGAGGGTTAGAGCGATCAGCCGGTCCCGTCCGGCCCCGCTCCGCCTGCGAAGCCCCCTCTCTGCCTCCGTTCCCCGGGTGGGTGTCAGGTGCTCGGTAATCCTCCCCCCAGGCCCGGGAGTGTGAGTCTTTCCTGCAGCTTTCGCGGAGAGCAGAGCCTTCAAAGGAACAGGCACAGGTGGCTGGATGGAAATTGGCATGGGCGGGGAAGGTAGAGTACGAAGCAACTTCCACCTCTGAAACTGGAAAAGATTTCAAGCACACAGTGCCCCTTTTGCTTTGCGCTATTGCAGGGGTGGCCAACCTATGGCTCCGGAGCCACATGCGGCACTTCAGAAGTTAATATGCGGTTCCTTGTATGGGCACCAGTGCCGGGACTGGAGCTACAGCACCAACTTTCCAATTGGCTGGGGGGGCTCACTGCCCAACCCCTGGCTTGGGCACAGGCCCTGCCCCCAATTCCTACCCACCCTCTTCCCTCAGCCTGCCAGGCCCTGACTTCTTCCCAGAGCCTCCTGCATGCCAGAAAACTGCTTATCAGGAGGGATGGGGAGGTGCTGATCTGCAGGGCTGCCGGTGGGTGGGAGGCACTGGGAGCAGGGTGAGGGAGCTCGTGGGGGGCTGTGACGTATTACTGTGGCTCATTGATTAAATTCTGGCTCCTTCTCAGGCTCAGGTTGGCTACCCCTGCGCTATTGTCTTGTTTATTACCATACTAGAATTTCACACTTTTGGACAAAAGATAGATTAGGCCCCAATTTTGTAACAACTCACTGAGTGCTTAACTTAATATACTGTTATTGGATAGAAGTTAGTGGAACTATTACACTAAAACGAAGCAAATCATTAGTCACTGCAAGAGCAGGTCCATATTTACTTTCACTTTTGGTTGTCGTTACTAGCCAACTACACCTTCAGGGTGTGGTATGCTAGCAAAATTTTCTAAGAATTAGATTGCAATGGAATGTTTAAATATATACAAATGTCTTAAGTTTGTAAAACTCTTGTTTACCTAAACTATTTGACATGGTTTCTTCTTAATATACAATATAATTTTGTATTAGCTGACTCTTTTAGGACTTTTCTGAATGCATTTACATTTCATGTGTCTGGAAGCATTTGTAAAGCATGTCTTTTCTTTCTTGGAAAGGACATTATTTTAAAGACCATGTCTGGAAGTTTCTACTTTGTAATAGTTGGTCATCATGATAATCCAGTATTTGAAATGGAATTTCTACCTTCTGGAAAAGTGGAGTCCAAGGTTTGTGGCTTTTGATAATACTTTGTATAGCTATAGCTGTTTCTATTTGTTGAACATTCATTACAAACATGAATTACTATAGTCTCACCACAACCCTTTGAGGTAACTAGTATTGTTACTGCGTGTACAGAAAACTTTTGGCAGAGCAGGAGATAGAACCCATAGCTCCTGACTCTTTCTATGCATTAAACAGCAGACCATTCTGTCTCTCCAGAACGCATACATTTCTGTTTCTTCAGAGATTCTGTTTTGAATCGAGTATGTACTACTAATAGTTGCTGCTTGACGTATGTTACATGCTATCCTTGATTTATTTCACCACCTCCATAGTGCAGCTATGTGATGTCACTCACTGTTCTAGAGGATAGTGCCGAGGATTAAGTTTAGAGTTGTACTCTAATATTTTTTTGACTTTTAAATATTAATATTACAGCACAAAGTTAATACCACTGGCTTTAGTTTCTATTTGAATGATAATCCTGGTTATTTTTTTTAAACTGGGTAAGGTCTGACTAAGGTTTCCAAAGTATGTGATAATTGACCTGATTGAGTAGCTTTATAAATAAATACAGGTTAGAAAATGTATAATATAATGGCTCCAATGAGGATAGAACACACATACCATGATGATGGGTGCATAAAGGAAAAAAAAAAGCATAGAGTACAGAGCTGAAATGAAAAGGGGGTTTTAATAATGAGTTTAATTTGCATTATTGATTAGTATCTTCAATATATCCTTAAACAGAGCTTTTTAGATGTATAGTCATGCTGAAATGCATCTAACAATTGAGTAAACTTCATTTTTTGCACTCTAAAATTAAAATGGTTTAAAGCAGGCAAGCATAATCTCGGGTCACATTTTAATAATAAGTTACAAACTTCTTGAGAATATAATTGCACTAAATTAGAGAGAGCCAATGATATTGGTACCTTTTGGCAAATAGCCTCTGCTTCTGGATAACAACACTTTGCATAGACCAACAAATTCTGCACAGACTTGCAGCCTGTAAAATCTCATTGAGCTAAATGGTTTGCATGGAGTGTATTGTAAATCAGCACAGAATTTGGCTTTGTAAATTCCTTTATTTTGTCTGTTACTCAGGCCAGGTCTACACTAACCCCCTAATTCGAACTAAGGTACGGAACTTCAGCTACATGAATAACGTAGCTGAAGTTCGAAGTACCTTAGTTCGAACTTACCTTGGTCCACACTCGGCAGGCAGGCTCCCCCATCGACTCCGCGGTACTCCTCTCGCCGAGCTGGAGTACCGCAGTCGACGGCGAGCACTTCCGGGTTTGACTTATCGCGTCCAGACTAGACGCAATAAGTCAAACCCAGAAGTTCGATCGCTCGCCGCCGAACTACCGGGTAAGTGTAGCCAAGGCCTCAGTAATGACAAGTAAGTATAGTTGTAGATAGGTGGACTGCTGTTAAGTACAGACCTGCAGATAAGACATTAAGCCAAGGACCCTACTGCCTGTCTCTAGTGGTTGCTAAAGGTTCCATGGCACACTTTCAAAAAACAAGAGATAAGCCCCATATATTGGCCATAGTCTGTGTTGTAAAGTAGGGCACTTTCTCCCTTCTGGTTTTTTCCCCTTTCCTCCTCCCACTGGCTGGTAAGGAAGGAAGGATGATACTCTTTGCTTCCAATGAATCTATTTCCCTTCCAAATTTTATTCTTCCTTTAATACGTGAGCAGATCAGAAAATGGAGAAAACCACCAAGAATGGAGCAGACCTGTGGGTGCGAGAGCAGCATGTGAGCAGTATTCCCTCACTATAGGGTATGCTGGAAAGACAGCCACAGTTTCTAAACTGTTGGACGCATAGGGAATGGTCTTGGCCAGCTCTTCTTTTCAGTAAACCATTTTTTAATATTCTAGGATGAGAGAACTGCTAAGCACATAATTGCATTTACTTACATAGTCACTGCACTGTTGGGGACGAATTCAGCTGTGGCATTAAGTGAATGCCATTCCTATTTATCATAGAGGGAGTTGCACTTATTTACACCTGTGATATCTAATCCTAGGATCTATTGCACAACACTTTCAGTAAAATGGACTGTATTAAAAACAAAACCCTAGTTCTTCTCTGTTTTCTGATGCCCTGTTGTCTTTCACTTCTGACACCAACGTATTGGGAATATATCTTATTGTATTTGTATTTCATTAAAGACCATGTTATATGTTGCAGAAGAAAGGTTGAGGGTACAAACTGTAAGAAAAAGTACAGCTATTACAGCAGCTGGTAGATTATTCTTATTTAGGTTTTACTTGTATGAAATGGCTCCTTCTGTTTTCCACGATATCAGGATGATCATCGTCATCTCAACCAGTTCATAGCTCATGCTGCTCTTGACCTAGTAGACGAGAACATGTGGCTGTCTAACAACATGTACCTGAAGACAGTGGACAAATTTAATGAATGGTTTGTTTCTGCTTTTGTCACTGCAGGACATATCCTTTCTCTGTATTTATTCACTTTTGCCAGCAAGTGATAAGTTAAATGAAGCAATTCTAGAGCAGAACTAATTCTGCTGTTTTTACTGGAAGGTAGGTTAGAGATAGTACCCAACATCTGGATGAAGTTTGTCAGAGGCAGATCACTTCTAAAAAGATGGGACTAAGTGGGAGGGACAGCAATGGATCTTAATCTGGTGAGGGGATGGGGAGGGCAGAAGAAATGCCCTAAGGTGGATTGCCCTGAGCAGAGAAATAAGTTTTATAAAGCTAACACCAGGAGAGGAACAATAGAGAGGTCTGTTCCTGCCCATACAGTTTTCTCTAATTCCAACCCCTTTTTGAAAGCTGCAAATAAGAGGCTTGGATATAACTATACATGCCTGTTGGTGATGGTCTCTACACATCCAGTAAAAATGGATAGTTTTTTCAGGTCATTTAGATATACAGACTTGATTTGAATATTAGAAACCAGGTGTTAATTGCCACGTATGTTGTAAATATAGTGATTGTATTTGTTTGACAATCTGTTCTAATTTCAGGTACATGGAAACATTACTTTGTATTTATTTATTTTTAAATTCTCTTCAAAATCTGGATATTCTTTACAAAATAAAGACTTGAATGAGGGAGTAACACTTCTTGCTCCCAAAAGCATGGGAAGTTTAATTAATAGATTGAAATTTAATGCTTCCTACAGTTAATGTGCCTGGAGATCCCTCTTTAAATTCTAGCTTCCAAAGAACACTGTCTTGCATATATAAAATTCAGGTGTAAGCATTTGCTGCATTGAGCTGTGAGTGCTTGCCTCAATCAAATACCATGTCAGATTTTTCATTAGTTTTGCAAATTTAGTGTTGGTTATAAAACTCCTTAGAGGGAAGGAAGAGCAGAGAGTCACTAATAGTTCATCTTAAATTTTTGGAAGGAAAATTGCTTCCTTAATTGTTCCACATATGAGATTTATTATGCTTCATGATGTAAGACAAGAAGATGGAATTAAAAACTTCTTT